AAATACTTTAGATAAAGAACAATGAAAACAAGTAAAAAGAAATTATTGTTTTTATAAATAAAATATTCGTAGATAAGAATTCCTTGGTCAATTCAAAATTCTATTGATAAACTATTTGGTTGTTCATCTTCAATAAATTCAAATGATTTGGAAAAATCAATCATCAATAATGAAGAATTTGTATTGTCAATCATTGCTCCTGGTTTCTTTATGTTGATCATTGATTATTTTAAATGTGATCAATTATTAACTTTATATTATCAATAAATGATCTTGAAGAATGTCTTATTGATTTACTTCATCTAATTGATACAAAAATCGATAAATTAATTTTAGATGATGAAACAATTTCATTAAAAACTCTTGTTATTATAATTCGATCTTTACTTGTAATCTATATCATCATATGAAGTTTATCCATCAATGCCAAGTCATTCTTTTTGTACACTTATAATAGAGTATATAAATCATTTTTATAATGATATTGTACACATTGTCTCATCTACTGATCTTATTCTACTTTTTACTCGTCTTAATTCAATATTTAAACAATTATTATCAAGACGTTTACGTCAATTAACAATAACTAATGATAGTGGACCTCAGTATACTTTTTTAACAAATGATCTTTTATATTATATTAAACAGATTCAAACTTTGCCTGGACTTGAAATCTTAGAGTTACATATCGATGAAATTTTGATCACTAATTAAGAAAGTTTACTGAAGATTTGTTCCTAGCCTTTAATTTATTTTCGCATATGGGCAAAGTTACATATGAGGGATTTACCCGAGCTGATGCCTTCTGTTTGAGATTAAGGATTTTTGCTCATGAGTCTTTAAAGCCGAGTTATGACCGTTTCACTGAATTTTCGACCAATTTTTAGATATTTACCAAAAAATGAAATAACGGAGTTTTAATCTAAAATTTTGCCCATAGATAGGTCTAATGGTCCTTAGAATATCCTGAAATTTTCAGCTGAAAAGAATTTTCCTTTATCGAGTTATTGAATTATTAAAAAATAGTCGCTTGTCGCAGACATGGTGCAAAAATCCAATTTCCTTGAAAAGGGTGTGGGTGTAGGTGGGTGTGGGTGGTGGGGGTGTGGGTATGGGTATGGGTATGGGTGTCTGTGGTGTGGGTGTGGGTGGGTGTGCGTGGGTGTGGGTGTGGGTGTGGGTGGGCGTGAGCGTGGGTGTGGGTGTGGGTGTGGTTGTGGCTGTGGGTGTTAGCATAGAGTTTATCCACACACATCGACAACACCCACACCCACACCCACACCTACACCCACAAAACACCCACACCCACACCCCACCCACACCCACCCACACCCACACACCCACACCCACACCCACCCACACCCCATCCACACCCACACCCGCGCCCACCCACACCCACACCCCCAGATTATTCACAAATGCATCAAATAATAAAATTAGTGTTGTTATTAGCTTTGACTTATCCAAGGCTTCCGATCGTGTTCCTCATTTGGTTCTGCTTAATAAACTAAAATCGGTTGGTTTCATGGAAAACTCTTAGGATGGTTTCAATCCTACTTAACTGATCGATCACAACGTGTTAAGATCGATAATGTTCTTTCACGTTTGTCTTGTTCTAGAGTCCCACAGGGGTCTATATTAGGCCCATTATTATTCATTATTTTCATAAATGATCTTTCTGATGTTATATCTTCATCAGTATTACATAGTCT